GACCAGGCTCCCGGCACAGAAGCCGTCCCCGATGTAGATGGCGGCCAGCCAGGGGTGGGAGCCGGGCAGCGCGGACGAGCCCCCGACGATGCGAGGCCTGAGGAAGCTCCTCTTCTTGTGCCGCCGGCCGCAGGCCTGGCGGCCGGCAGGGGCGGCCGAGGGGCCGGCAGGGGTGGCCTCGGGCACCGCCAGCAGGGTCACGGTGGGTAAGTCCAGGGTTCTGGTGAGGGACCCTGGAGGCACATGTCACCGGTCACTCGTGCCCCGGCTGCGCCCGCCTTCTGCCATCCTCAAAGGCTCCCCGAGGATCAGCTGCCTCCAGCCCAGCAGCCTTCTCCCCACCCAGGCAGCTCCTCCGGAGCAGGGCCCAGCGCCCCGGCCCAGCTCTGGTCTCCTGTGCACAGGACTGGCTCGGGCCTCGGTCTCCTCAGCTGTAGGTGGAGGACTTGGGTGTCCGTGCCCCTCCCAGCAGCCCCTGGACCCAGAGCCAAGCCCGGGGTGGTCAGGGGGCCCTGGGGTCAGGGTCCGGCATGGGAGGTGGTCTCACAGAGCTGCCGCCCCCAGCGTCAGACCCCAGGGCCGCCTGCTGGGCTTCCCACCGTGCTAGTCGCCCCACGGACACCCTGTCCTCTCTGGGGGCCCTCCCTGTACGGCTCAGGTGCGCAAGAGCCACCTGGAGGACCAGGGGACCGGCTGGCTGCCTGCTCTGACCCCTGCACCAACGCGCTGCGTGGCCTTGGACCCGCCCCACCCCAGAAGCCTCAGTCTGCCCACCCTCAGACGGGGAGTGGTCCGCCAGAGAGCAGGGGGCAGGTGTGGGCGTGGGGCTGCCCCCCCCACCCCGCCCCGCCCCGCCCAAGCCTCCGCACCGCAGGCTGCCAGGCGGCAGTACTCCCAGGAGAGCGCCTGCTCTCTCACCACATAGCACCAGGGCCGCTCGTCCTTGTCGGGGTTCCTGGGGCGCGGGGAGAGGCGGCTGGGCGGGTGTCCCGCTGCCCCTCGGGCAGGGAAACAGGGAGAGGGGAGGGCGATGCCCGGCAGGGCGGGACCCCTTACGCCCGCCCCCCACCCCCACCCGGAGGAGCAGCCTTCCGCTGTCTCTGCCCCTGGACACGGTGGCCTTGGGCCTGGGGGCCAGAGCCTCAGCCCGGCTCTTCTCGCTGGGGCAGCCCCCGGGGCGGAGGGGCCAGGGCCCTCCCCCTGGGACAGACCCTGGCTGCCCTGCGCGTGAGGTGGCCCCGGGAGGGCCGGGCCCGTGCTGACCGGCAGTAGGCGTGCGGGCCGAGCCCGAGCAGGGCCGCGGCTGCCACCGAGTCCACGTGCAGCTCCTGGTAGAGCAGGTCGGAGTTCCAGGCCAGGCAGCCGAGGCCGGAGGCCGCCGTGCTGGCCACGCCGCGGTACTCGGTGCCGTTCCCCGTGAAGCAGCGCTGGGCGGGCACTGGGGGCGGCCGTGGGCCGTGAGCCTGGGCCCCAGGCTGCACCCGCCCACCCCCTCTCCCCGCAGGGAGGCCAGGCGCGCGGCTCGGAGGCTGGACAACTCACCGATGTCACAGAGCCTCCCGGCATGGCCCGGGGGACAGGCGCAGACGGTGGTCCCGGTGGCCACAATCAGGTGGCAGGTGCCCCCGTTCAGACAGGGGCTGCTCGGGCAGGCTGCGGGAGGGCTCAGAAGCTAGGCCTCAGGCCCGGAGGGGCTGGGCGTGGGGCTGGGGCCAGGTGCCCGGGGCTGGGTGACCCCGGGCGAGTCCCTCCCCAGGGGTGGGAACCAGGGACGACCGGGTCGCCCACGGAAGGCCCCGTGTACCTGTGTGGTGTGTCCCCTCGCACTGGGGGCGGCCCCCCGCACACTCGCACTGCTCCACGCGGCCCTGGTGCACCCGGGCCCAGCGGTCGCCCGCCTCCAGGTACTCATGCCGAGTCTCGTCGAAGCACTTCTCTGGGGAGCCGTGCGGTGAGCCCCTGCTCTCTGCACACCCCTGCCCACCCCCGCCCCCCGCAGGGCCCCGCCCTCCCGGGCCCCGCCCCCGCCCGCCCTCAGCCCGCTCACCAGTGCCGCAGTCCGGGCCGGCGAAGGCCCGGGTGCAGGTGCAGTGGTAGGCCCTGGGGTCCTGGGTGCGGGCGCAGGAGCCGCCATTGAGGCAGGGGCTGGAGGCGCAGGGGTCCGGGGCTGCTGGGGGCGTGCAGGAGGGCAGGGAGAGGGTCTGAGGGCCCAGCCAGTCTGTCCCCCGCTCTGCGCCCCTCGCTGTGCACCTCTGTCGGGGCTGCTGCCTTAGAGACGCCCCCGTTGAGGCCCTGGGGGTGCGGGTGCCCCAGGAGAGGTGCAGCCCCCCAGCCCCACTCAACACCCAGACCCTGGGCAGGGGGCTCTCGGTCCCAGCAATGGCCAACGCAACCCCGCGGCCCCCAGAGCGGGCAGGGTCCTGCCTGGGAGGGACCCTGGGGCTGAGGGCTCCTGTGCCGCCCCTCCCGGCCCCCAGGCCTCTAGTGGGCTCAACCCCGGTGCCCCCCCCCCCGGGCCCCGCAGGTAGGGGCCCCTCCCCGGTCCGCTCTGTCCCCGTGGCGCCCACCCCCACCGGCACTGGACCTTGATGCCCACCCCCCCAGCCTGGGCTCAGGCCTCCCAAACCCCAGGCACCGACCTGGGCCCTCCCGGGGCTCGGAGGCCTGGGCGCAGTAGCCCCAGGCCCGGTCCCGGTCGTAGTTGTGAGTCGTGGCGCACCTGTGGGTGGGTGTGCAGTGACGTGGGGGCCCGGCCAACTCTCTCAGCTCCACGCACACCCCACCCCCCACCGTTCACTCATTTCCTCACTCGCTCCACCCGCACAGGCCCGATCCCTCTGGAGAAGGGGGGTGGAAGGGACCCCGGGGTGGGGGGGGGAGGGGAGGCCTGGACGGCCGGGACCCACCACTTCCTGTGGGCGCTTCCCTCCGACGTGCAGGAATGCAGCAGGCGGCCGCCGTGGCGGAAGGGGAAGCGGCAGGGCTGTCCGTCCTCCGTGAGCACTGCTGGGGGGGCAGCCAGCATCACGGGCTCCCACACCGCCCCCCCGCCCCATGGCCCGTCCCACCCCGCCCCCCCAGGTGCAGCCTGCCTCCTCCTCCAGGAAGTCCCCCTGACCAACCTGGGCCCCCAGGGCTGCTGCTGGAGGGAGCCACGCCGGGTGGGGAGGTGAGCCCCCCACCACGGGGATCCTCTGCCTCTGGAGTGCCTGCTGGTGAGGTCGTGGGGGCCACCAAGGTCACAGGAATTGTGGGGCTCCCAGCGGTCACTGTGGCTGTAGGTTCTTGGGGCTCTGTGCGGTTCTGGGGGGAGCCAAGGGGGCTGGGATGGCATCAGTGTGGGCCTGGCCCCCTTGCGCCCCAGCCCTGTGAGGGGCTGGCTCAGCCCCGGGCCTCAGACTCCATAATTGGGCCCTCAAGTCTTGGAGTGGCGACCCAGGGACACCAAACACCCCGAGGCTTCCGCTGGGCCCGTGCCACCCACCGCCGAGACCAAGAGGTCAGACAGAGCTGGCTTGGGGTCTGCGGGGCAGGGCACCCCCACCCCTGGGGGCCACCCTGGGGCTGGGGCCGCTGTGAGGCCCTCAGAGGCCCCACCCCACCCACCTCCAACACTCAGACCCCACAGAGGCTGGAGTGGGGAGCAGGCTGTTCCCCCAGAGTGGGGGCCCAGTAAGTTGGATTCCCAGGCTCCCCCCACCACCACTGGGCCAGCCCAGCACATCCCCCCCCGACAGACTGGCTTTCGCCGGGCGGGGCGATGGGGCCCGTGCTCACCCTGTTGGCCCGGGCCTGGGCCCCGGGGGGCCCCAGGAGCAGCAGCAGCAGCAGCAGCAGGGGCAGTGCGGGTGGGGGGCAGGGGCTGGGGGCCCAGGCCCAGCGCCCCATGGCTCCTCCGGAGTTGGCGTGAGGGGCCGCAGGAGTGGGGAGCAGAGCGGCCAGGGCAGCTGGGGTCAAGGCCGCCTGCAAATGATTAACCGGCTGCCTCCCACGCTGGCCCTCGGGTCCCCCACGGCTGCCGCCGGGCTCGGCCGGCCAGGCCCAGGGGGCCCGGCTGCCCGCTCTGGGCTCAGCCACCTGACACGCCCTTGGGTCTCCGCTGAGAAGCCGCCCCTCAGTGTCTCCCAGGGCCACACGGCAGGCTGGGGCCTGGCCGCCCGCTCCGTGTGTGACCTGTGCTGAGCCCCTCCCAGGCCCCGGCCTGGAGGGCGGGTGCTGGCCGGTGACTGGCGGGAGGCCGGGCGCCTCGGGCAGGATGTCGCTCTGTGACAGGGACCCGATGGGGCTTTTGCTGCCACCCCCAGGAGCAGCCTGGGGCAGCCCGGGAAGGGCGATGAGGTGGAGGGGCGCGGCAGGCCTAGAGCCGCCCCCCGGTCTTCCGACTCTGGGGTGTCCCCTCCCCGTCTCTCCTGGACTCCCTCTCTGGCCCCCGGCAGAGCCCTGGCTGGGGACCCAGGGGCCACCAAGGGCCACCAAGCCCTGGCTGGGGGACCCGCCTGTGAACTGGGGTGGGCGGAGCACTGTCCGCCCCCTCCTGGCCCAGACCGCGGAGGTGCGGCGGGCACCGGCCCCTCTTCCTCCTGACACCTCCCCGGGGCGCCCTGGGAGCATCCAGAGCAGCCCCACACCCCCTGGTGCTCTCAGCCTCTGACAACGTGAGGATCCCCCTCCCCCAACTCAGGGGGGGAAGGCGGGGGGGGGCCCCTTGGCGCTGCGCTGCCCCTGCTGGGGTCACCCCAAGGCCACCTGGGCCGCCTCCGTCCATTCCGACCCGGCTCCGCACAGCCCTGAGCCCTCCCCCGACCTTCTCCACAGTCGGGGGTCCACGCAGGTGACCCCTCCACGCGAGTCAACGGCTGCCTGCAGGGTCCCCGCTGTGCCCTGAACAGGATAGCTGTGCTGACCTGCAGGGGGCCGTGTGAAGGGCACCCGAGGACCGGGCCTGGGGCCCCAGCTCCCAGCAGGAGGGCAACACTCCAGGTCCTTGAAGACACTTTATTGAGGGGAGGCCGGGTGCCAGGGCAGCAGTGGGGGGGGGCGGTCAGAGGAGCCCCCTGAGCCAGCCCCGTCTGTGGCCACGCCCCCCGCCCTCTCCCGGTTTGGCTCCCAGGGCCCCGAAGACAGGTTCGGGCTGCCCCCCCCACCCCGAGGTCTTGGGCCTTCACTCTCGGGTGCAGGCGGGCAGCTCAGGTGCCGGGGCGGGAGGCACGAGGGGTCCGCTGGCGGGGTCTCAGACAAAGGTCGCGTGGTGTGGGCTGGCCTTGGGCTTGGTGGGCCGGCCCGGCCCGGGGCTCCGGCCGGGGAGCTCGGACCTCCGGGGGCCCACCCGCACCCCCGGGAGCCTGCGGCCCGGCCCGGGCGCTGAGCCGGTGACCAGGTCCACGTCGATGATAGTGCTGACGGGGAGGCCTCGGCTGCCATGGGCCCCGCCTCCTGTCAGGGGGAGAAGAGAGACGCTGTCACCGGGCTGCCTGCAGCCCTGCAGACGCCCAGGGCAGGCGCCACCCCCCAGCTGCCTGGCACTGTCGCTGGGTGTGGGAGGGGTTCCCCAAATACCCAGATGCACCCCAGGGTCAGCAACCTCTGCCCGAAGCCTCTCGGCCCAAGTCAGGAGCCTGCCGACCGCCAGCCTTGAGCCTCTCGCTCAGCGAGCACCGGGAAGCGCCCAGGGCCCCCGGACGCCCAGACACGCAGAGTGCCTGGCGGACACCACACAGTGCGGGGAGGGTCCCGAGGCCGAGGGCGGGGGTCAGGCGTGAACCAGGAGAGGAGAGAGCAGAGGCTGGGGCCCCAGGTGTGGGAGGCTGAGGTCTGGGGGTGCAGGGCCCAGGTTCTGTGCTGGGGGCCCTGGGGGAGCCCCTGCTGGTCACAGGGACACCCAGGGCTCCCTGTGCCCTGCCCTTGTTCGACCCATTTCCGGCCAGCCCGGGGCCCCTCAAAAGCTGCTCAGCACCTGGGCCCCCAGAGCTGTCCCCAGATGCCTGCCCCTGCCACCCCCTCAGCCCCCCTCTTCCACCCCGCCCAGCTGGCTCCCTCCGCCAGGGGACGCTGAACTGTCCCCTTGCCAGGGCTTTTGGTGGGAGGGGCACACCGTCTGCTGCTGAAAGGAGGGTTTCTGTGGCTTGGGGCCGGGGGGCCAGGGCAGGGTCCCAGGGCCCCATGAGGACTCTGGTGGGCCTCTGGGGTGGGCTGTGGCCAGTGGACAGCAGTGTGGGGGCCGTCTCCATGAGAGAATCCCCCACCCTTTGCCCCAGAAACTGGGACCCCACTGAGGTCCCCAGCCTCATCTTAGCCTTACCCCACACCCCAGGCTGGTACGGACCCCCCGCCCAGCTCCTCCTGGGGAGCTGTCTGTGAGCTTGTCCTTAGGCCAGAGCCACTAGGGAGGTGAAAAATGGTCCCCAAGGGGCAGGCCCCTCGCCTGGGCTGGGGGAGGACCAAGCCCTGGGGGCGGGGGGGTGTCCCAAACAGCACTGGGCTCCCCCACAGGCCTCACCGCCAGCGTCCAGCGCCCCGGGCCGGGCCACCAGCCCGTCCGCCCGCCCGTTGCCCGGCCCACGCCACGTCTTCACGCTCGCGAACTCACTCCCGCCCGGCTGTGCTCTCCCTCGACTCCGTCACCACCCCCCACACCGGGCCCCGAGCCCCACCCCAGCCACCTGCCTGCCCCTCCTCCAGGCGGCCCAGCGCCCAGCAGCTGCCCCCGCAGCCCCAGGAGCTCCCGGGCTGCCAGGAACTGCCTCAGAAGCTTCCAGACCCTGGGTGGGCAGCGTCTCTGGAAGACCGAGACCCGCCTTCCTGGGGGCGTCCTCAGGGACCGGCAAGGGGGGCACTGGCTCCCTCCACCGAGCCCCCTGGCTCACCCCAGCCGTGCTGCCCGGCTCAGGACCCCGTCTGCCGGGAGCAGGCAGGAGCCTGGCCTGCCTGCGGGGTGTCATGGGTCCACGGGGACAGGGAGCCCCGGCCCAGGACCCCCAGTGAGCAGGCTGGAGGAGGGGCCCTGCCCCATGGATGCCCCTCCCTGGGCCCCGGTTTCCCTGGCCGCGGGGCGGGGGGGGCAAGGCCCTGCTCCCTCCGTGGGTCCAAGGCCTCTGAGGGCGGGTGGGTCAGATACCAGGCCAGGAGCCTGTGCTGCCCCCCAGCTGCCCTGAGGCCCCGAAGTCCCCAACCCCACTGCACCCCATGCCTTCATGTGGCCCCCCAGGGAAGGTCTTCTCAACAAGCCCCCGAGGGGCGCATCACGGTCCCCAGGGCGCACCAGTGTCGGGGCGCCCGGCGGGCATGTGGCCTCCCCACCTCCCACGGGAGCCGCTCGGGGCAGCTGTGTCTCACTTGAAGCAATGGGGAAGGTTTTCAGGGAGAACTGCAGCTCCCCCCACCCCGCCCAGGGCCGAGGGTCCCGTCCTTCAGTCACGCGGCCAACGTTCTGCTCCCAGCCGGTCACCAGGCCCCCGTGCCCCGAACGCTGGCTGCAGGCAGGGTGGGGGATGGGGGGGCTGGGCTTGGACCCGGCTTCAGGGTGTGGAGGGGCGGGGTCTGCCCCGGACCCTCTGCCCCCATTTGGGCGTCTGCCTGGAGCCCTCACGGGCCTGTGGCCCCACACGGGCTCGGGGGCCTGGCCCTCCCCTGTCCCCCCAAACGGACCCCCGGGAAGACAGAGGCCTGCGGGGCACAGGCTCAGCTGCCGGCCTTCTGAGCTCAGGGGCTCAGCAGGCTCAGGCGCCCGGGGAGGTGGGTGGGTAGATGCCCGTCTCCGGGGCAGGGTGGCTGGCGCACAGGCTGGGACGTGCGGGTCTTGGGAGGGTGGCCGAGGTCCCAGCCCCGCCCGCCTGGCCGGGACTCGCCCTTCTGAGTCGGCGGCAGCCCCAGGCCCGTGACTCAGTGGCAGGGGCCCAGCCCCGTGCGGCAGGCCGGCGTCACGGCCGCGTGCCACGGCCTGCCCAGAGCAGCCGCCACCCGGCCTCCCCGGCGGGGGCTCCACAGGGCTCCTCGGGGAGGGGCCACCACTCCCGCGGGGAGCAGGGTCCCGCTCACGCCCGCACGCCCGTCCCTCAAACGCCAGACGCGGGGCTGGAGCCCAGGCCTGTCTCCTCTGCTCAGGCCGCCCGGCCGAGCCCTCCTCCCCGGGGCTCCGCAGCCCCCCACTGGGCGCTGACCCAGTTCTGGGGACCCCACCTGTGCGCAGCTCGCCCCCCAGGGGCCCTGCTGGGCCGCCCCCTGCGCCCAGGGCCTGGAGAGGCCCTTCCCTTTGCCGGCTGGCTGTCATCCGTCCCGGGGCCAGCCCTTCACTGTTCGAGGGCCTTCTCGGTGCCGGCTCCCACGTCTGCTCCGGTCCCCTGGGCCCCACTGGGAGGGTGACCGCGGGACGGCTACGCCGGCCTCTGCCCCGCCCAGTGTGCAGCCTCTCCTCGCCCCTGCGCCCCCCTGGGGGGGACCTGGGCCTGGACAGCTGAGCCAGGCCTCCTGCCGGGAGGGCCGTGTGAGTGGTCGCTAAGGGGTGGATGGTCGCCGGGGACAGCTTCAGGCGCTGAGGGGGAGGGGGCACCCCGGGGCTGGCCTCCGGAAGGGTGGGGGAGCTCAGCTGGGACCCTGAGTGGGCCTGCGCGCCAGGGCAGCCAAGTGGCCGCTGCAGGGGAGGCGGGGCTCTGCTTCCTGGGGGCGGGGCGGGGTGGGGCCTGGGCTGGCCCACTCAGCGGGCGGAGGGAGGGGCCGTGCTGGAGCGAGTTCAGGCCCTGGCCCTGGCCCTGGGGAGGGGCTGTGGACCTCCCCTCGCAAAGCCTCTCCCACCCGGGCAGCTCACCCCAGCGTCCCGCTGTTCCCTGCCCCGACACTTGACTGAGCTGTGGCTGAATGCTCCGTCCTGGGAGCCAAGGCGAGGGCCTGGCCGTGAACCCGCCCAGAACCGAAGCGGGGGTGGCCGGGCCAGGGGCCTCCAGGCTGCCCGTCAGCACCGCGGGCCGCCCACAGCCGGCCCCGACACCCCCACCCCCGTAAACGCAGTCCCAGGGCGCCTCTCACAGCCGGAAGGCTGGCGCCGGCGGAGGCGTCTCCCCCAGCCCGTGAGCACGCCCGGGAGCCCGGCGCTGCCCTCCGCACGGCCCCGTGGGGCTGACGGTCAGAGCCCGACCCTCACTTGCCAGGACCAGGGGACAGTCAACGCCGCCACCCTGCCTGGTGCTGGCCAGGGCGGGAAAGGCCGGGGGACACCCACAAACTCCCGGGGTGGGGGTTCTGGTCCAGACAACCAGGGCTGCCTCTCACGGCCGTGCTGGCCCCCGCCACACCGGTCGCCCCCCCCGCCCCGGAAACCCGCACCCTCCCACTGAGAACACGCTTCCCGCCCCGGCCTGCGCGGCGGGCTCCACCCCCGGTCAGGACACTCAGGGAGGCGGCGAGTCGACGTTTCCCTCTCAGCCGACGTCCCTCCCTCTCTGAACCAATAAACGTGCTTTTTAAAGAAAGGAAGAGAAAGCCTGCTCCTCTCTGAGAAGCCCCGTTCCGGGGCCCTCGGTCCTCGGCCACCGAGGGCAGGCCCGCGGCCGGGCTGGGTCAGCGGTGTGGCCCCCGTACGGCCGAGGTGTGGGGACCGCGGGGCCCAGCGACACCACCACACGGTGCGTGTCACCCCGGACAGAGGGGCCGCCCACCGAGGCACCAGGACGCTCAGGCCCCGTTCCCGGCACGCGCTGGGGCAGAGTGAGGCCGAGAGACACGGTCCCGCTGCCCCCAGCAGCGCAGCCCGTCCTGCCCGGGGCTCCCGGGGCGAGTCCCTTCCTCGCAAGGTGGCTGCCGCCGACACAAGCTTTGAGGACCAGGACGAGCGGCTCCCCGACGCACTGCACCTGGCACGGAGCCCGACTCGGGGGCCTCCACGCTGCTGTCCCCGCCCACCGAGGCCCCTCCTGGCAGCAGCTCCTGCTCAGGACTGCCGAGAGCGGACGGTTCAGGGCTCCCTCTGCCCGCGGCATCTTGGGGTGGGGGGCTGGGGCCGAGGGCAGTGGGGAGGAGCCTGCCGGGCGCTGGGAACGCCTGTGCTCCTGCATGGCTGTCACCACGTCAGGGGAGTCAGGGACAGCGAGAACACAGAGGGCTCTGGTGTCCCTGAGGGAGGAGCCAGGGAAGAGAGGGCGCCTGGCCATGGCACGAGGCCCGTGTGGACGGTCGCTAGGTGGGAAGTCTGAGCCCGGAGTGGCAGCACCGACGGGGCCGCAGAGGCAGGCAGGAGCTGAGAGGCAGCCACTGGCCACAGGGCAGCCGGAAAGTCTCGGCCCCGGGCCCACGGGCAACGACTCGGAAGAACTCGGCCCAGCCGCCTCACCTACCCAGGGGACAGCAGACGGGTGAGGCCTGCCCGCCCAGAGCGCCCGTGTTCGTTCTCAGGCTGCGGAGGCCCCGGCCCCCTCCCGCCACCCCCCCCAGCCCGCACGGGCCCCCACACAGCCGACTCTGCCAGCACGGGTAGGGTGCGTGAGCACGTCTGCTGAGCAAACGGCCCACGTGAAGAAACCACTACATTCGGGCAGACCCACCGAGTCCCTGAAGTTGTGCAGTATTTTCCCTGGAGTAAAACACGCGCGCGGTTTGCCAGAGTGGACGTAAGCATGCAGGAGAAAGAAAGCTCCGACCCAGTCTGGTGGTGAGCTCCAGCGTTTATTCCCCTGGAAGGACACAGACTCAGACACGGGGACACTGCGCACGGGCCCCAGGGGAGGGCAGGGCAGTCCGCGCAGATGTGTGCGGGGGCGGCGCGCATGCAAACGCCCGCTACTCCCGGCCGGGCGGCGGCGCCGTCTCCGCGGGGACCAGGGAAGACACGCCCCGCCCTGCATCGCGCACGCCTCCGCATCGTGCGAGTGCCCCTGCAGAGCGCAATGACCGCGCCCGCCTCCCCCTGCAGGTGCGGCCACAGGCCCTGGGGCAGGACCCAGGCTACCACCAGGTCCCAGATGGGCCCGAGCAAGGGTGTCCCCACCGCCCTGACAGCGAATGGGTAGTGACCGAAAGTGTCCACGCGTCACCCAGCGTGCGGAGAAGGGCGGCCGCTGGGGGCTCTTGGAAGTGCACGCTGCGCAGGCTCCTCGTCCGCACCGCAGGTGGGGGCGGGGACGCACGCGACTGCGGCGCCAGTGCGGGCGGCGCGGAGCCGCTTCTGGAAGCCCCTCTGGTGGGAGACTGGGAGGCTCGCTCAGCCTCGAACGCGTGGCTCCCGGGAAGCGTCCCTGCCGCCAGCCGCCCCTCACCGAGCTCGGGAACGCACTACACCCGTGTTCGCGGAAGTTCAGAGAAAAACCTTGACTATCCGAGGTCAGCACGCCGCCCAGAAAGCCCTCCAATGTCCTGGCGCCTGAGCCGCGCCTGCGCACGCAGGGCCGGCACCCACGGGACCGGCTGCGGCGTCCGAGAGCGCGGTCCCGCTCCATCGCCTGCGCTTTGTTCACTTCCCAGAACAAGAGCGTTTTCTTTTCAGTCTGGAGACAAACGCTACAAACGCTAGCTCTCCGCATTTTAAGGGTGGCACGTACACTTCCGGAAGTCCCCAGCGCCCTGCTTGCGGGCCAGGACCGGGGGGAGGCGCTCAGTGTGCTCGCACCGCCCAGGCGTGTCTGCGTGGAGCCCCTCGGGGACCATCCCGACACACGCCGGCCGCTCCCGCGGCCCACGCCCTCCTGGCAGACAACGCGGGGCAGCCCCCGTAACCACGGTGACTGAGAGGGGACAGTGCCGTGGAGACACCTCGTTAGACGATTGTGGGGCGGGGGGACCCAGCACAGCTGTGTCTTTTTCACTGGGGACGAGGCGGACAGCCGGGAGGACAGCCGGGCGGACAAGCGGAGCGGCACGGAGTCAAAGGTGAGCGGGGGCACCGAGCCCGGAGGTACCTGGTCTGGGAGGCCCGGCCGCGTCCTGCCGGGCGGGGGGCGGCGGCAGCAAAGTGCTGTTGGGGCTGCTGATGTCCCCCTCCCCCGTGAGCGTCAGGTCGGCCACGTGCTCGCCCTCCACAGTCTGGACGTCCCCGGTCTCCACGTCCCGCGCGTAGGCTGTGGGGGTCGTGGGGGTCTCGGGGGTGGCAGGGGTGGTCGGGGTTGTGGGGGTACAGGAGGGAGGGCTGTTGGCTGAGCTGGGGCTGGTCGCCGGACTGTCGGGGTGGTCGTGGGCAGGCCCCCTCGGCTCTCGGGGCCGGGGCCCGGTCTCCGGGCCGGGGCTGGCCGCGGCGCCCGGAGGCAAGCGCAGGAACTCGGGCAGCACCAGGTCTTCCTTCCTCAGCAGCCCGCGCTGGTCGTCTGCTCGGCTGCTCTGGGCTTTGGAAATGAGCTCGAAGAATGCTGTGGGGAGAGAACCCGCGGGCCGAGCTGCGGAGGGTGCACGGGACGCCCGGCAGTGCAGGTTCCCGCTCCGCGGTCCCGCCTGCCCCCGCCACCGCTCCCCCCTCCCCCGTCCCGCCTGCCGCCCCGCCCCCCTGCAGGCTGCGGTCGGGAGGCACCTGCCTCTCCGCCACCTCTGCCCACAGAACTGTGGGAAGGCCTGGGCTTCTAGAACAATCCGGAACAGCGCTATGGCTCCGCAGGAACCAGGCGGTGTGAAGTACAGACCCAAGTCACCCCAAACCCGGGACCCGTGGGCTGACGTGCCCGGGAGCACGCCCCCAGGGACCTTCACAGACAGCCCTGGGTCGTCCGCAGGGCGACGGGAGCGACCCTCGGATGCTGCAGCGCGACAGGGCCACAGGGGGCGGAGCCTGCCTCCACCGGGGAGGGGCAGCGTGTGGGCGGGGCCTCGGTGGCGGCACCCCAACCCGGGCTTCTGGAGCCTGCCGTTCACTCAGGGCGGCCCCGACGGCGCCAAGCCCCACAGCCCTGGGGCCTCCCGCGTTCCTGGGGCCTCCCGGCCGGCGGCGTCCCTCCAGCTTCCACGCCGGCGCCTCTGGAGTCGCCCGGGGGCTTCTCAGTTGTAACTCACGGCCGCCGTGCACAGGGGGCGGCACCTGAACTGAGCTCTCTGGCGTTCACGTGACACTCTCGGCTTTTGAGCAAGGACAAGGGTGTGACAATCCCAAACCCTGATGTGTCTCGGACACGCACAGACTTCTGCGCGGGGGGGGGGTCCCTCCCGCCCTCGCAGCCCCCACGGCAGGTTGGCGGGTCTGCGGATCGGAGGGCGGGCTGTGCGTGCTGCGCGGGGGGCGGGGGCGGCCGCTCCGCAGCGCCCCTGCGCTCAGACCCAGGCCCCGGCAACAGCGACCGCTCATGGCTCCGCTCTGGTGCCCTCCTTCGTGAGCGCCTTGTAGAGGGGGAGGACGTGCCCACAACGAGGCCACCCCGCTCGTCCCCAGTGCCTCCTTCCCCGCCCGCAGCCCCGGCAGGGGCAGCCCTCAGGCCCCTCGCAGAGGGCAGCGAGCCAGGGCCCCCGCTGGCCACCGCCTCCCTGGCACCCACCTGCCGCTGAGGGCCCTCTGACACTAACCGAGCCCCCACCCCAGCTGGGGACGCAGACGGAGGGGACCACTGTGCTGCCCACCCCCCGCCACTGGGGTGCGCCCCGACTCCTGCGGGCCCGGCTCTCACCCTGAAAACTGGGGCTCTGGGGGACCCCCCAGGCGGACACCGGGGGTCCACTCCCGCACGGCGGAAGCCCGGCCGCCAGTCAAGGACGCCCTAGGTCCGCACCAGAACACCGACACAGTCGCCACCACGCAACGGGCAAGGTTAAAGAGTGCACGTACCCTCCGCTTCGTCCAAATTAATTTTCTGATATTTTTTTTTCCCAATCTTTGCAATAGATTCTTCTCTCTTTGAAAGCCGGGGATCCCTAGCATTTTTTCCATTTTCTCCTTTTATTTTAATAGAGTTAGACTTGCCTAGCGTCCTCTCCTCTCCCTGCATCGGAAGGAAAGGGCTCTACTCACAGTCCGCACACGGGGCCACACGCAGCCGGCGTCAGGGCACAGCGGCGGGGTCTGCGTCCCGGCCCGCGAGGGCAGCGGGACGGTCGCTGCCAGACTCGAACTGCACGCGGGCGAGCTGGCGAGTCTCAGGTCCCGGGAGCACGCCCAGGGGGGCGCGGAGGACCCCCAGAGGCAGGGCGACTCACGGGCTCACGGGGTGGGGGGGCAGGGGCATGCGGCTGGCCTGCGGGAGTGGGGCACCGGGCGGGCAGGGGAATTACCGTAGCCGAGAAATTTCTGGAGCCGGAGGTCCCCACGGTGCTCTGCCTGACGGGCGTGCCTTTCTGTTTATCTGCGGGCGGGGGCGGGGACACAGGCGTGGTGAACACAGCTGGGTGGACAGGGGCGTGGCAGGCCCCTCCTCCACCCGCCCAAACAGGCTGGACGCCCGGAGCCAGACCAGGGACAGGGCCAGCGTCCTCTGCTGGCGCTGGGGCAGGACATGCTGTGTGTGTGGGGGGGGGCACGTGGGGGCTCCACCACGTTCGCTCGGGTGCGTCGGAGGCCAGGCACGGAGAAGCCTGTTTCAGGGACTGTTCCGTGTGAGCGCTCTCTGGAGGACAGGGTCACGTAACTTCACGCACGGCTGTCACCCCGAGTCAGGGCTGCCCTCTGGCCGCCACGGCCCTCATGGCCCCAAGCCCACCCCTCTCTGGCGCAGCTGAGCTGGAGGAAGGGCCGCCGCGCCCCCCAAGGCTGCACAAACACCCCGCCCGGCGGTCTGCCTGCTGCTCTGCAGACTCACCGGTGCACAAGGGGGCCGGGGGGCGGCCCAGCCGGCAGGGCCCTGGCAGGAGGCACCAGGCCCCACCCCACCCGCCCGCCTGGTGAGCAGGCCCAGGGTGGCGAGGGCGGCGTGCTCCAGGCTGGCCCAGGAGGGCCTCCGCTTTAAGGAGGGGAGGCCGGCACCACGTGCCCCCGGCGGGGACGGAGGCGTCTGAGAGCTGAGCAGCCGCTGGAAATCTGATGGAGCCACCTCCGCCCCCAGGGAACCAGCAGGCAGCACTCGGAAGGGGCGGGGAGGGGGCCGGGCCGGGGAGGGGGCCGGGCCGGGCTGGGCTGCGGGACCCCAGGGCCTCGGGGCGGACGTGGCAGCGCCCCTGGGCAGGGCTCGGTCGGCCACACACAGGGGACAGGGGACCGGACCGCAGACGCCCCCAGCCCACGAGGCTCCGGCACTGTGTCCCTGGCTCACGGGGACGCGACGGCTCCCACGAACAGAGCGTGTTCTCTCCCCCCTCCCCCCACCCCTGCCCCGCGGTGAGGCACAGCCCGGGGTGCTGAGTCCCGGAGCAGTCGTGGGGGAGGGGCGGGGGCACCGCAGGGCCCGCCAGCTGAGGATAGAGGCGCAGGGCGGTCTCAGCTCTCGGGGGCACGTGGCTCCCAGGGTGCGGCCCTCGTCTCCCGGGCCTCCTGGCCAGTCAGGGGCCTGGTGCGGCTGTGCTCGGCCAGGGCTGTGCGGGGCACGGGGGTGGCAGCCCAGTGAGGCCCTCTGTGGCGGGCAGTGGGCCTGGGGCTTCCGGGGGCCCCGCTCACCTCTCCCCCTGGAGGGGTCCTTCTCCTCCAAGACCACGCGCTGTCCGTCCAGACTCGATATGGGGGCGCCGAGGTCCAGCGGCTCTCTCTCCCCGTTCTGGAGACCGAGACGGCGCACTCAGTAACTCGTCCAAACCGGAACTTTCCGGAACAGTTGCCCGTGGCCCAGGCTGGGAGTCACACGCCAGGCGACCCTGGGCCCTACAGCCCCGGCGGGGCGGGCCCACGGGGTACAGGGCCTCGCACAGGCCCCCGGCGAGGAACAGTGAGTCCCCACCCTGGCGGCGGCCTGGAGCACGAGGGCTCTGGGGCCCCTGTGTTGGGGCCGCTTCCGCCCCCCGAGTGACAGCGGGTGGCCTCCCTCTGCCAGGCCAAGACCAGGGCGGGGGTGGAAGAACACTCGGCACGGGCGGCACCCTTCCTGGTGCGCAAATGCGACATTCTCAAGATGACGTCGGCCAGGCCGGAAAGCCTTAGACCACTCACACCTGGACGAGGGGACCCTCAACGCCACCCCCCTGACCGGCCGGCACTGCCAGGGAGTGAGCGTGGGCAGCAGGGTGGGCATCCTCCTCGTGGGCCCTGACTCAGAGGCAGTGTCCCGGGTGGGGCTGAGGCGGGTGCGGCGGGGAGAGCCCCTTCCGAGCAGGACCCACCGCCGCTGCCCCAGAGGAAGGCTGAGCTGGGGGCTCGGCCCCTCGGCCTCCCCGAAGGCCAGGTAACCGGGGGCCCTGAGGCGGCCGAGCCGCTTCCTGGCAGGGACACGGCCTGACCACTGGGCAGCCTGGGAGTCCCACAACAGCCCTGACCAACCCACTCTACAGACAGGGAAACTGAGGCCCAGCGGCAGTGAGCTAGAGCGTGGGGTCTCAGAAGGAGGGCTGGGAGTGACGTCCAGCCCCGCCCAGCACGCGGGGCTCCAGCTCGGCGACCTTCCCTGCGGAGCAGGGTAGGGGCTGCGGCTCCGCCCGGGGGGCCTGGGCACACCTCGGCACAGCCCTCTCCCTCACGTCGAAGACTGTGAACAACTCTAGGGTCCGTTTCCAAGAAAGTTCAAGTTCTAGAGACAGTGAAACCACGGCCCCGATAAAGTTCACTCGTTAAAGAAACAAGGACGCAAGGTGGACTCCATCTCGAGGCGCAGTGTTTCCAAGCGAGTGGGCGCGGTGCGCTAGGCACGCAGAGACTCTCAAGTGGACGGGGTCTCGGCCCCCGCTCGCCGGCCGGGACAGCGCCCCCCACGCGCCTCTGCTCCCAGCGGCGGGGACTCCGCTCACGCCCAGGCCCCTTCCCTCTCCACCCCAAGTGCCCTCTTCCCCACCCCACCCCACGTCATGCCCCTCCCTGGCCCCGCCCTGCTTGGAAACGCCCCAGAGACGGGCGCCTCTCCCAGGCGGGGACGGGACGGGGACGGGGCAGGGAGACCCCACGAGGGGACGCGCCCGAGGCAGCGGCTCAGGGCGCAGGAGCGGAGAGGCCGTCTGCTCGGACTGGCAGACAGCAGGCCTGTTTCCAGGCTTTTTGTTCTCCTCCCGTTTGGTTTTCCGAAGCCACGTCGCAGGTGCCCACCCCGGCCCCCGCCCCAGCCCCGGCCCCCGCCCCCGCCCCGGCCCCAGCCCCAGCCCCCGCCCCGGCCCCAGCCCCTCCGGAACGGCCCAGGTGTGAGGAGGTGAGGGCTCCCCTACTCGGGATGAGACCGCGGGGAGGAGCCGGGGCGGTGGCCGCCTGGGTCCCCGCAGGCCCCACGTCACTCACCAGCCTGGCCACGAGCTCATTCAGGTGCAGGCCGTACTTGGCCACCACGGGCCGAAGCACCTCCGTGACGGGCTTGGTGGGCTTGGCCTTGAGCCCCACCGACCGGTTAATGGGAACCAGATCCAGCCTGGCCGGGGAGGGAGAAACACGGACACGCCCGCTGCGAATCCAGGTCGGGGTTCCGGGGGAGTTCCGTCCCGAGCAGAACAGTGGGCGTCCCCGGCCTGCCCCCCCAGTCCTGAACGCCCCGGGGTCTCCCGCCCCCAGTTCTGGGGGGAACCAGCCTGCAGGGCGTTCTCGGAGGCTCCCTTTGGAAACGAACAGGGGCCGTCATGGCCGGCGAAGAGGGAGCCCCCTGCAGGGCGGCCAGCCTGCCGGGCCGCCACCGTGGTCGAGGGGCCGGAAGGGAGAGCGAACCTCTGGCCCCTTGGGTCTGCGAGCGACCGCTACTCCCGCCCCCGCCCCACGGCGGGGCCAGCTGTCAGCACACCGTGCGGCTCTGGGGATCGTGAAAACGGCAGCCGCGGTTTTCTCACCGGAACAAGGTGCGCTTCTCCAGGCGCAGGTCCCTGGACGCCAAGATGCTGCTGTCCTGCTGCAGCACCAGAGGCTGCGGGGCACAGGGGGAGAGGGGGCGGGGTCAGCGCCGCAGGTGCCAGGCGGCGCTCCCTGTGGGCCGCGGGCGCACAGCTGCGCAGGGCGCAGGGGCAGCTGCGGGCGAACCCCCCGAGTGCAGTCCGGCCCTCAGGACGCCTGGGGCAAACTGCTCAGACAAGGAGCCCACCCCACGGCCGAGAAGGCGGGTGACAGGGCAGGTTCAGACAAGACAGATTCACCAGCCCCCCCCTCCCGCAGGCCAGTGCCCCCCGGACGGGTCCCCTGGACGGGTCCCCCGGCCCCGTACCTTGTCCCCGCCCACCAGGAAGAGGTCCACGGCGGCCCCGCTGATGCCGTGGCGCTCACAGAGCCCGGACAGCACCTCCTTGATGGACAGCCCCGCCCTGACAGGCACGGAGCAGGACGTCCCGTCGGGCAGCTGGATACAGCAGTGCCTGGTGGCCTTGTCCCTCTCAGGCGCCAAGGTCCTGCAGGCCTCTGACTGTGGGCGGGAGGGGCGTGGGGTTACAGGGGGCACGCAGGGTGCCCCAGAGGGCAGAGGTCGCTCCCACGCGCCGAGGGAGGCCCACACCGGCTCCAGGGCCCCCGAGTTCCCGCAGGAACAGCACACGTTTCTCCCGACCAGACGCTGGGCTCACAGCCTCGCCCCGTCCCAGGGTGCCAACGCCTGCGAGGGGGGCCGCTACCCAACTCACTCTCTGGAGCCACGATCGCCGCCCTGTGACCCTGAGCTGCCCTCGCCCAGCTCCCAGGACCTGGCCCGAGGCCTCTCTGGGAGGAACGGACTGACCCAATGGGCCACAGGTCGGGAGGAAGGAGGCTGGGCGGGGCGACGAGGGTCCTGGGAAGCCCTTCGGGCGGGCAGAGGCTGCGAGGGGCTCGGGGGAGGCGGGGCTCCCTCCCACTTTGGCGGGTGGCAGAGGGCACGCCCTGTCGGCCGGGGGGGGGGCAGCCCACGGCCGGGCCCACCCCGAGAGCGCTGACCACCTCTGCCCGGGCAGCGCGTGGCCTGGCTCACCTGCCAGGCGCACCTGTGGATGGGGGCGGGCCTTGCCTGTCGGCAGCGTCTGTGACGGGACCGTCTGCACTGCCCATGCACCAGGCCGAGAGCTCGGGAAACTGCCAGTCGGCACCGCGCCCCGCGCCAGGGCGCACAGAGGCAGGGGCTCCGGGGCGGGCAGGACGCGTAGGGGCCAGCCACAGCAGCACTCGGGCAGTGCACCCCGGGGGCTCTCCTGACGCCCCCTCTGGGCCCGAGTCGCAGCCTCACTCCCTCACCAGGAACGCCCCCCAGCCAGCGCAGAGCCGCCCTGCGGGTCACTCCACTGCCGCCGTCTCCGAGGGACACTGAGCGTCCCCTGCACCCTTGCGTCAGCTCGGGAAGCGAGTTTGCCAGTGGCACACTGGTTACAAAATGGCCCCAGCGGCCCGTCCCCACAGACGCGCACGCGAGACGCCCGAGCGCAGGGCGGTCTGTCGGGGGTGGCAGCTCGAGGCCGGCTCCCAGCGGCCGGGGAGCTGGCGGCAACCAGGGTCTCCCAATCGGGCCTCAGACAACAGCCTAAGGCCAGCACGTCCGACCCCACGGCTCCCCGCCTGCCCTCACCTCGCCACAAACTGGGGCTGAACACGCTCCGGGCGGCGGCAGGGGGGCAGGGGGCAGGGGGGGATGGGGCCGGGCTCCTCCTGGGGCAGGGGAGGGGGCGGGGGAGGAGCCCTCCCGGCGGCCCCCGGGACGTCTGCGTCCGCGGGACATCCAAACGGTGAGACAAGGACAAAGCCCCCGCCTTCAAAGCTTTTCTTTGTTAGTGGGAGTTCAAGAAAAAGGTAACCGAATGAGAACAAGACCCCAAAAACGAACCCACAGACGTTTTCCGAGCCGAGAAGCGCCCCCCAGGCCTACCGGGCGGCTCCTTGCCCGGTCCCAGGGGCCCCGTCAGGCTGTGACGCGCGGGCCCTCGGGGAGGAGCCGCGCCTGCGGACCCCCGCGGCCGGGCAGGCGGGGACTTACCAGGTCCAGGCTCCCGGCGGAGGACACGGAGCCCTGCGACTCCCTGCGGCCCAGGCCTCCGTTGGCGTGCGGGGCGTCTTGGGGGGAACACAGGGACTCGGTGTCAGAGCTTCAGTGTCCCCGCTCGACACCGGGACCCCTCGCTCACTCACGGCCGCCGCCCCCGCCCCCAGCCCCCTGGGCTGAGCCGAGGGACGCCGAGCACAGAGGGCAGAACGGAAGGCTCCCGAGGTGCTGCCCCTCAGGGGGGTGCAGGCGCGCCCCTAGCACGCGCCGCACCGCAGGCCCCGGGCGGGTCGGCAGACAGGGAGGCGCCCCTGGGGTGGGGCCCCTCCTCCCGCCGTTTCATCCAGAAGCTCTGCCCGGCCCGCAGCCCCTCCGCCCACACAGAAACTGCCCCCGCGGCCAGCGGCAAACCCAGGCGGTCCCTGCTCTCTGCCCAAGGCTCACGTCACGTCTTCCTGCAGAGCCCCCACCCGAGCCAGCACTCGGCCACCGCTGTCACTAACGGAACCCACTGCGACCCCGGGCCACGCCGGAAACCGCGAAAACACGCGTCTGGAAAGGCCCTTCGGCAGCGCGGGCTCTGCTCCCCAGGCAGGCTGCCGTGCGGGGCCTGGGGGTGTGGCGGGTGCAGGCCCCTCCTGAACCGCTGGCCCACCTTCCAAAAGCACTGACTCCCGGGCCACCACGCCTGAGTCCCTGGCAGTGCCAGGGTCAGGACCTGGGGCCCTGCGCGGGTGGGCAGGCTACACGAGATGACCCGGGCCACCTCCCCGGCACTCCGAGGTCCAGGCCCCGCCTGGCTCCATGGCAGCCGTGCCCCAGCGGCGCTCTCCTGAAGTCTATTACGCTGTCTGCCTGTCCCTGAGAACGGACGATGTGGCCTGGGGATGACGGGTCCCCAGCCCCAGGCGTCACCCTGCTGCTGCCGCCTTCTGGGAGACAGACAAGCGAGGCAGGCTGCGCAGGCGCGGGGAGGAGGCGGGGAGATGCCCACCCACCGCCCGCGGCTCAGAGCTGCTCTGTGCCTGTCTCTCCCCGGCAGGGTCACGGCCCGAGTTAAACTTCAGGGCCACAGCCCGGGAGCTCTCAGGCTGTCTCCTGGGAAGTCCTCGAATTTTCCAGAATCTCTGGGGGGAAGACTCTTTCAAGCCCTTCTGCAGTGCGTTTCGGCGGCTGCCTCGCTGGCCCGCCAGCGCCACCAACCAGCGCCCTGGCCCAGGAGCCCGAGGCTCCGGAGCAAGCCCGTCTCCGTCACGCCAGCTCCCCAGGGATGCAGCAGAAAAGAAAAAGAGCCTGGGGGAAAGCGTCTAGGCCGGGCAGCCTCTGAGACTGACGACCGCAGAACCCACAATTCCCCCAATGCTCAGCGGCCGGACTACGGGGGGGGGGGGGCAGCACAAACACTGAGGAGGCGGGTGTGGCCCCGCACGCGCGCAGGGAAAAACCGAGGCAGGGCCACGAGGATGGGGGGGGCGGCAAACGGCAGGCGCGGTGCTTTCTTTTCTAAACTCGGTTGTATTTCCCCGATTCCCCCCTGAGCGCCCGTTCCTGCTCCAGCCAGGACGGGGGAGAGGAGGGGACGGCAGGGGGGCGTGTGAAGACCCTGCGGCCCTGCCCGCTGCCGCCCGCCCCGCACGCCACCAACCGTTGGTGTGGTCGCCGTGGTCCTTCTTCCTCTGGGACCGCCCCGTGCTCCTGGCCCTGGACCAGGAGAAGAACGCCCCTTTCCGCCTCCTCTCGCCATCCTCGTCCCCCGCGTCCTCGTTCAGGGACCGTCCCGACCTCGATTTCCCGCTCAGCTGTCGTCAGACGGAGAGCAGAGCGTGGTTACCCGGGGTTCAGGCCGGGGGCACCGCACGCGGTGCGGCAGGAGGTGGGGGCGGGGCTGCAGGGAGTGCCGACTGCCCGCCCCGCCCACAGCCTCAGCCCCGCCCACAGCAGGTGCACGCCCCCCCGCGGCGCTCATTGGCTGCAGGGCCTGACGCGGCACAGCTCGCTTCCCACCGGGCGAGCCCCCGAGGCCGGGCGGGGCACGGCAGGCCGGCACCTTTTTTGGCGTGGACACGTTGGAGTGGTCCGAGCTGACGCTGTGCTTGGAGGTCGGGCTGCTGGGCACCTGCTGGGAGTCGGGGAGGGAGCGGCCCTCCACCTCCGCCAGGATGCACTCCTGGTACAGCGGGGACTTCAGGAAGCGCGTGTAGCTATCGAACTTCATCAGGTTGAAAATCTGCGGGGTAAGTGCCACACGGTTGGCCCCAGAAGTAGCCAGAGCGCAGGGACCCACAGACACCTACCGGCCCCTTTCCCCGCCCGCCCGGCCCAGTGCCACTCTCCAGAGCTCCTTCACACGCGATCGCGCCCTTCCACAGCACGCCGGTCTCTCGTCTACCACACTTAAAACCCACGACTCCCAACCGCTCCACAGAGGCGGCGCCACGGCGCGATCCTGGAGGCGCTGCGCCCCGTGGTGAGGAGGAGCCCAGACCGGCTGGGGAGCAGAAGGGGGCGGGGACTGCGCTGGGAACGCCTTCCTCCGGTTTCCACTGGCCTCACCCGACCCGGCAGCAGAAGCCGTCTCTGCAGAGGCCGCTGGGGCGCACGCTCCAGGCGACACCAAGTCCAAGGCGCGCCCCTCGCCACCGCGACGCCCTGCAGCCACAGACCCCTCGAGCCCGCGCTCTCACACAGGCGCGCACACGGGCAGGCCCCAGCAGCCGCTTGTCCGCGCCCCCCTGGGCCCCGAGGTGCTGCCGGCCGCATTTGGACACAGGAGCCAGTGGGAAGACAGGCTCCGCCCCTCCCCACCTGGTGGCGCTGGGAGCTCGCTGTCTGGGACCCGAGTCTCCGCCCCCGGCCCGCGGCCAGAGCCCCTGCACGAAACAGGGTGTGGAGGCACCTGGAGCTGCTGCTCCTTGAACATGTCGGGGTGGGGGGCGCTGAGGGTGTCGTCCGCCAGCTGGGCCTGGCTGTCGATGTTGACCGGGGTGGTGGCTTTGCTGCACAGGAACTTGCTGAAGATCTCACGGGCCCTGTAGGAAAGCTGGCAGGACACGTGGATGAGCCGGGCGCACAGCCCGCAGGCGCCCTCCACGCATGTTTCCTGCGTGCTTCGCTGCTGTGCCCACACGCCTGACACGGCCCCAGGCTCTGGAGACGCAGCGTCTCGGGGCCAGTGAGCGCTGGCACGAGCTCAAGCCGGCACGGACCCTCCCCGAGCGAGCGCCTCCCTGGGCGCTCTCGGTGACGCCTGTGTCCCAGAGACTCGGGCGGCGCCACCCCTCGGCCCGCGAGCCGTGTCCGCGGGCCTCGCTGCACGTGTGTGGTCTCTGGGAGGTGGGAACTGGGCCTGCGCAGCACTGGGGGCACACGCTGACACGTGGCCTCCCACGAAGGGAGGGGGGCCCCCGGCCACGGCAGGCAGGGGCCAGGCCAGGGCCGACGCGGCTGTCGGGGCCCGGCTGCGGGCGTCTGTGGGCAGCGCCGTGTGGAGGGTGGCGCGGGAAGCCAGGGGAGGCGCTGTCACCCACCCTCCCGATCCCCCACGGCCGCCCCACCCGAGACCGCCCCACGCCCGGCCTGCCCCTGCGTGGAGAGACGCACCTCTTTCTTGTCGTGCGCGGGGACATGGCTGAAACACTCGCAGGCCTGCCAGAAGAGGATGTTCTCTTCGCTGAACTCCTTCCTCAGAAAATCCTAGAAAACACAGTGCGTGAGCCCCCGACCTCGGCCCGACAGAGGCCGCCCGCCCTCCCGCCGGCCTCTCCCTCCGCTGCACTGCCACGGAGCCCGGGGCTGGGGCGCCGTGCACGGTGCACCCACCGAGGGGTCACTCAGGTCGAGCTGCGCCCCACCCGTGAGGGCCACGCTGCACTGGCAGCGGTCCTCCTGAGAGCGGAGCGCCCCTCCGACAGCGGGAACCACCCGTGGCCCCCCACGTGGTTACCAGGAACTCGGGGGCTGATCCGAGTGCCCCCCGACCCCTCGGCCCGAGTGTGAGGAGACGCCCGCCCGGCGGCTGCCTGCGCCGTGACCCCCCGCGGCCCCCAACTCACCGAGAAGTACCGCACACCCAGCGGGTCCTGCAGGAGACGCTCGAAGGACACGGCCCAGCTGGCAACTCTCCGCTCCCGCAGGCGCCGGCAGCTCTGCACGCTGGGGAGGCTGGCATTGCTGCTCAGGCTGTGGTTGCTCACGCAGCCCTTCAGGTCGGCGCCGCTCAGCTCTGCGGGCGGCACAGACCTCACCTGCACGCCCGTCCCCGCCCCGGCCCGCGGGCGGCGGCCCAGGGCCCTGGTCGAGGGTCATCTCTGGCGTGCACACCCAGGCAGCCCTCCCCGCCCCGGGAGCACCGAAGACGTGCCCGGTGTGGCTCTGGGGACAGAGCATGGGACAGAGCACGGGACGGGGCTACCCCGACCCCAGGCGGCCGCACGGGGCGCACGCTCAGCAGGAAGAGGTGACCAGAACTACGCGGGACGGGGCTGCCCCGCCAGGGGCTCCCCAGGGAGTTGCCCGTGGGGCTCGGAGGCACAGCAGGTCCGGGGCGGCTGCCGCCGTGGGCGGTGTGGAGGGCGGGACCGGGCCGTGGGCCAAGCCAGGGCCCTCACACGTGTGCCCTTTCTGCACCGGGCTGCTCTCCGCGAGAAACGCTCAGCCGTGATGTCCAAACACAGTGTTTCAGCCCGCGCAGCGGGCCCGCGGCCCAGCCGCAGGCCGCCCCCACCCAGCCCAGCGTGTGGCGCAGGGGCCGCGGGAGGGCTGCTGCTGCACCGAGCGCCCGAAACCGAGGTGCGACAGCGAACGTCCACTGTGGCCGCAGAATCTAAAATAACGTAAACGCAGGGAAAACCAAACGGACGGCAGCACTGAATAGAGAGACTCCAAACGGAGACGCCGCGGTCTCCGCTGCCTTCACAGGGCCCCCGAGTCGTCTCCCGCCACCAAGAGGAGGGGGCGCCCTCGCCCCCTCTGCCAGCACCCTAGGCTCCCCGTCCCCGAGTGGGCAGGCCCGGCCCACAAAACCCGAGAGGGAGGGGCAGTGGCCAGCCGGGCAGGAAGGGGGCGCGCCCTCCTCGGTCCCCGACAGAGACACAGCGCCAGGACGTCCCCAGACCTGCGGGGCGCAGGCGGAGGTCGGCCTGCCAGCAGGGCCTCTCGGCGTGAGGTTGCCCCGAGAACCGGCGTGCGCCCTGCGTGTCCCCGCGTGCCCTTCCGTGTGCCCACTGTCCCTGGTGCTCTGCGGCGGGTGCGTGGCGAGCCGTCTGGGCCGGCCGTGGGGAGGCGTCCAGCCCACTAGTTAACCGGCTGCAGCCCGACGTTTAAAGGGCGCCTTACCGAGACGAGGGACCAAAAGGGGGGGAGACTGGCGGGGGTGGGGACCTGCCAAGCCCTGGTGGGGCAGAGGGGGCTCCCCCCTGCAGATGAAGCCCCCCCGAGACACGCTGACGACTGGGGGGGGGGGCAGAGGCCATGCCCACAACCCCAGAGGAGGGCCACCCAGCTGGGGGGCTGTGCGGGGGCCCCGGGCACAGACCCGCCACCTAGGGGACGGGGGCCTCCAGGGACCTCTGGGGCCAGCGGAGCCGAACCGGACACTCGACCACGTCAGATCCACGTGCTGCCTGGGAGCCACCTTCTCCAGACGGCTCAGACGGCATTCGGACCCGGACGGAGAACAGAAGGGCAGGGGGTGACGGACCGACCTCAGCTGCCACAGAAAGACGCAGGAGGCCCCAGGAAGCCCCGCGGGACCGGGGGGCACGCTGCTTTTTCCGTGCTGCGCGAGGTGCTCCTGCGACAGGCTGCCACCCCCGCCAGCCTGGGGAGGGCTGCGACGTGCAGCGGGGCCACCGGCGCAAAGCTCCCCGCCCGCACTGCCGGGCCGCAGGCAGCAGGGCGGGAGGGGCCGGGCCGGGCCTCAGGCACACAGGAGCACCTGGAGACGCCTGGCTTCAAGAACCCCGACCCATGGCGTCTCCCCGCAGCGCTCTGCACTTCACAGGCTCAGGGCCGCGCACGAAAAGTAGCCCCATGGGGTCCTCGGACCGCAAACCCTCACCCGCAGGCCTGGGGGGCGGGGAGGGCGGGCGGCCGCGCCCCGGGTCCGCCTTCTTCCAACAGAGGGCCAGCTGTGCCCCCGTTTCCAGCCCCTCCCCTGGCCGGCCCCGCCCCCGAGAGCCGGATCTTACTACCCCCGTAGGTAACCGGATCCCACCTCGCTCTCTCCCCCTCCCTAACCCTCCTTAGGTTCCCTCGGCCGGTCCCTCCGAAGGCACAGAAGATGCTGCAAACTTCCTCCCCGGCACCTGCGGTCCCACCCCCGGGGCCTCTGCCCTCAGGGTGGCTCGGACGCTCGCTCACCGAGACTCTTCCCAGGCCGGGGCGTCTTACACGCCGACAGCACGTCACAAACACCCCCGTGCACACTCACGCTCTCACTCTCACACACGTGCTCTCCCTCTCGCTCCGGGTCGAGGCCAGCTCCGGCCCCACGTCCGTCCAGGAACCGGGGCGCCGAGGGGCGAACAACGTGCCGCTGATGCTGGTGACCGACGACACAGAGGACGACACGCTTCCCGAGACACGAACGGGCCGGGCCGAGCGTGCGGGTCCCCGGGGACACCACGCGGGAACGCCGGAGAGACCGCGCAAAGCGGGGCGACGGTGGGGGGGGCAGCCCCGCCTGGTGCCCCACGAGTCCCACCCTGGCCCTTGGCCGGCGCGCCAGGGACACGCGTCCTGGGGCCGGGCGCTGGGCCACTCGGTCAGCGGTCAGGTGCCCAGTCCCTTCCGACAGGCGGGACTCAGCCCCACCGGACCGCGGGCTTCAGCGGGAAATGAAGTCGGGAAGACACGAGAACAGCACACGGGGCCGTGTCCCGAAGGGGCCGTGTCCCGAAGGGTCTGAGGGAGGAGCCAGAGGACACAGGCACAGCCGTAAAGGACCACAGGGACCCACGGACAACGGGGCGGTGGTCGGCACAGGTGGGGGAGGGGGAGGGGTCAAAGGGTGCGGCACGGCGACAGCATCAGTAACACTGAGCGGCGGCGCGTCTGAAAGTTGCTGCGAGAATAGATCTTGCAAGTCCCACCCCGAGAAAAAAACTTCTGTGACTCGGTGAGGTGACAGGTGTCCACCCGACTCACTGTGGTGCCCATTCCGCAGCAGGCACAGACGCCGGTCACCATCACACCCGGCACCGACACGGTGTCTGTCGTGTGCCCACTGCACCCCAGCAAGAAGACCACGTTTTAAAAAGTGGAGGGGAAGCAGGGACAGTCGGGGAGCAGGGGCTGAGACAGCCCCGCCCCCGGGGGCGGGGGCGACCCCGACAGCCAACCCCCGACACCACGGTGGACGGGACCTCAGCAAAGGTGCCTTTTACATGGGTGAACAAGGGGGTCTCCCAAAAGGAGAAGTCGTGTCAGCACCAACACGTTCACCGCCCCCACTGTCCCCACCGCCTCCACCACCCCCGAGGCAATGAAGGCCGAACTGGGAGCCGGGGGGCGAGCAGAAGCTGACCGACCCCGGGCAGCAGGCCCAGCCTTGCAGGACGGCCCAGCCCGCGCACAGGCCCTGCGGCGGAGGGAAGAGGGCCGGCCTGGTCAGGGGCAGGAGCGGTGTGGATGGGGCCCTGGGGGACAGCAACAACCAGGGGCCTGTCGGGAAGAGACCTTGCTCCCGTGCAGGCCCCTCCGGCTGGAGGGGAGGGCAGCCCTGAGCTCTGTCCCCACAGGCCGGCTAGACCCCGGCCAGGGAGGGGGACAGGCCGCCGACCGCAGCCAGCGCAGCCGCACGCCATCGCGGGCGTCGGAGCTCCCAGCCCCAGGCGCGAGGCGTGTGGGTTCCAACACCACGACGAGCAGGGTGGCCTGGAGCACCTGCCCCACCCCCCTGCGGCGGCGGGGGCAGGGCCACAGAGGAGCCCGTCCACTCTGCCAGGCCCCTCCGCCGCCACGCCCCAGGGAGCGCCTCGCCCCCCTTCCGGAAACGGACCACACGCGTCCGGTCTCTGACCGAGACGCCCTGGGGCCTGCTCTCTGGGCCTCTGCTCGTGCACCAGGGGCGCTCGCCGAGGGGGCAGTGGGCACAGTGACCAGGAGGGCGAGGCCGTGACTCCGGCCGTCTCTCTGGCCACCTCCCCCTCCACAGCCAGGGCTCCTGGGACAGGCATGGCCGCAGCCCAGAGCTTGCCGGGGCAGACCGCTCCCCCTCCGGGGACCCCCAAGCCAAGTCTGTGACCGCACAGCCCGGCAGGAGCTGCGGATAGTCAGTCACGTGGCAGGCGCCCAGCCCCTGCAGAGAGGCTAAGGCAGGAGCCGCCCACGTGGGCCACACCCGCCCAGCACCCCCCTGGGCCCTGGACACATGCACAGGGGCCCTGGTCTTCGGCTCGCCCTGGACCTGCTCTCGACACAGACACATGGAGAGTGGTGCTCGTTTATGAGGGATGAACTTGAACTTGAAGTGCCTTCCCACGCCAGGATGCCCACCTAACTCCGAGGCCGGGAGACGGACGCCCCGGGCGCCCCCCACAGCCCGACTCCCCGTCAGGGTCAGGTGCGTGGGGAAGCCGTGCGCCCGCTTTCCGACCACGGCGCACCCCACAGCGGGACTGTGCCCAGCCCCCACCGACCTCGGCCTCAGGGGACACTCCCCGGTTTTGGTCGTCACTGCTGTGGGTCCCTTCCCGTCCAGCCGACCAGTTCAGACATGCTTTCCCAGTGAGAAAGCTCCGAGGTCGGTTTCGGGTCTGCTGAAAGACGCAAGAGCCGCCCCCCCCACGCTGGTGGGACCCACATGTGGGCTGCCTGCCTGTCGCAGGTAGCGAGCCGCAGTGCTAAACGCTCTAGATGATTCTGTAACTCGGGCGTCACCCGTGTGGTCCCACCAGGCGACCTCACCAGACCACAGCCTCAGGCCACGCACGGGCGACGCGGACAGCCTGGCCCGGGCGCCTCCTGGGGCCGTGGGCCACAGGCCCCGTGCACATACCTGACGGCCGCCCGGGCCCGCCTGCCCCCGCCAACCACAAGGCACACACCACGAGGGACTTTACCTGGGTGGAGCTGATAAGAGCCACTGTGATGCCATTTAACCAAATACTTCCAACCATTCACCGCAAACCACCCCTCCGAGTCCATACCAGGCTCAGCCGGCACAGCCCCCGGGGCCGCGGGCAAAGGCTCGGGCCCCACACGGAGACATGCTCCTTAGCT